AAGCGTCACTGCCCCTCTTCCGTCTGGATCCTCGCAGCCATGGCAGCTACGCCCCGCTCTGCCCTCAAATGAGCAGTGTGCACGGCACACTTACGGCACGTATGCCCATAGTCATCCCTTTAGATGGACTCCCAATTATCCCGTAACGGAACTTTCAAAGTTGTTCCAGGTATTAGCTGAGCCCGATGATCAACCCCACCTAGCGGATCACGGGTATGTGGCAAGAGAATCGTAATTCGCCGCGCCAGTGGGCGTCGCGCCCGCTAATGACGACGATTTTAGGTGGTATTGGTCGAGAATAGACAATGTATGACCAAAAATAGACATAAGTGTCTACCATGTCCTTGTCTACATAAAATCCGATGCTCCAAGGGTAGTGCAAATTAAGGAAAAGTCGCCCCATTGCCGCGCGCGACGAAGTGGCCATTTACGATTCTCATGCCCGTCTTCCGCGGAACACGACTTAGTCACTTTTGGCGCAACTGCGTTGTCGTGTCGTAGACCATCTCTTCTATCCAGTCCTGCTAATACTGGTGTTATACTCTCAAACCGCTTCAATGGAACCACGCAAACTCTGACTGGACACCGGGGTGGAGAGCTCTTGTTCAGCAGTTCTCTAGCTGGCAGAGTGCACTGGTGCATCCGGCCCCGAAGTGTAGGTTTTGACACAATCGCGCAAATTGCAGACTTGTCGCTAGCCACGCGCGACAGGTTTGCAAGGCTCGAGCATGAAGATCTCGCTTGGATTCTGCCACGCGATTCGGCTGCATCGAATGAAGCCAGAAAACTTCAAGGTAATTGGCTGAAAAACTGCATGGGAAATTGGTAGGTAGGTGTTGGAAGGGGGAGGGGGTTGTACCCTCTTCTAGATGAGGGGGGGGGTCGTACTGACACCACCATTTCACACATCACGATTCTGTACCCCGCTAGCTACTATTTTCTAGTGACTGGACACAGTGTAGATAGCACCGCTGAATCAGGTGACTCCGCCTGCGGATACCGCTCACGTGACGCAACGTGAACTTCCTGGCCCATATTCGCTTCTTTCGCGCTTTTCTGTGCGTCCACTGCTCACAAGTGAATGTTTACCCAATGGGATCTTCCCACATTTCTTTTTTGAAGCATACAGACACTATGAATGCTAGCTTGCGCCACAAGACATGTTTCAGTACCTGAAAGCATACGGTACCTAATTTTGAGTCTAGCCACTCCTCCCTCCTCCCAATGTGACTCTGGCTCATGTCTCGTGGCGCAAGCTAGCATTCATAGTGTCTGTACGCTTCAAAAAAAGAAATGTGGGAAGACCGATGGATGGGCGATATGACTAACGCATATGAATGTAGTACAACGTTAGCCC